GGAACATCATTTACTTTGAAACCTCCCTTTTTCAGGAAAAACCCCTGAAGGTCACAAACCTGGAAGTATTTCCCTTGTAGCATGTAATCTCTGATCTTGACCAGATCACGAGCGGTGCTTTTCAGGTCGCCAGTCGTGTACGTAATCACATCAGCAATCAGCTGACCCACCTTGTTTGCAACAATACTATCTCGAATGTGCTGGAATTCGCCAATATCACGCGACACCCATTTCTCCAGAAAACCACTGCATTCGAAGCTCTTCTCCTCGCCACATTTTACACCTGTAATGATGCGCTTGTTCGGATTTGGAGAAAGATCCACTGTATTGATGCCTGCTTGCATGATTGTGACAAGATTTCTGACTTCGTTTTCAATTACTTCCAGGCAAGGTGTGACTCCGTCAGGTTTCATCTTTTTACAAACCAAAAAACCAATTGAAGTTATTCCGTTGATGCGGCAAGCAAGTTTTTCCTCTCCTCCTCCCGCTATTTCTTTGCAGAAACTGTTGTAATTGATGTTGGGTTTTGCCTTTTCAATCTTGTTATAAGCATTAGTGAAATCATCTGCATATGCCACTGACGAGAACACAGCCAAAAGTGTGGCCACCAAGGCAAAACAAACTTTGTACATTTCCATAGCTGCGAAAGGAAATGAAGTGGGGTATGACCAAAACTGAATATTTCTCCCTTATAGCTTCTTATATAAGCCATATAGGCATGTGCCGCTCCAAAGAGAATGGTTTTTGCGCTGCGTCGGTTTGGAAATAGGTATAGACTTTGCTTAATTTGGTCTGGAATGGTTTTCAATAGATCTACGGGGGTGTTTGAACCTTTTTTGTTATTTTAATTCCAAATGAATAAGAAAGAAAGAGAAATATGCAAATTCGAAATGGCCAAGTAAGAAAATTCAATTGTTTTTGATTGGCTAGATTGTGAGAGGCTGAGGTGAGCGTTGTCATCTGCTCGCGCTCTGGTGTGTGCAATTCATTCTTTGCAAAGTCTTTAATTATGTTCAAATAATTATTTTCACTAAAGAAGTATAGTTCTCCGTCTCAATATAACTTGTAAAACTATTTTTACCTTATTTTTTAATACTTTTTAAAACTCTCTCTCTCGGGGTCAATAAAGACTTTTGATGAGGGCAAAAAAAATTCTCGCGCAGAAGTTGGTGCGTACTGCTTTGAGGTTTTAGCGTGCGCTATGAAAATTAAATTCAAATTAACTGTCGCATTGAATTTGATCAGAAGCATATAACCCCTGATTTGATTTTAAAAAGAGCAAAAACAACAACAAATTAGTTGGTTCATAAACCAAGTTTTGCTAGAAAAGACTTCACGGCTCTATCAAATTCGTTGTTTAACACGTCGAAAATGGAAGATTTATTTCAAGCATGCGCTCTCTCATCGTCTGTCTGACATTCCTGAGAGGTTATCACGTGTACAAATCGGATTTAACCAGGCCCCAGTTGTTCAAACGTTGGATAACGCTAGCCTCGTTCCCAGTCGTCCTTTTGATTTCGGATTTGACGTCACCTGTCAAGCTTTTCGGGAAAAGTCGCCCTATCGCACTCGGTTCCATGCCTCCTCTGGTAAATTCTGGATAAATCTTTTTCCCGCAGCTGATAACATAATTGGTCTCCCTTATACTTATACTTAATTTATCCAGTAGATAGCACTGCCCAACGTTTGAACAACCGTGCCCAGATCTCACCTTCGGCTTCGTCAAAAAGAGATCTGAGTACGAGATAAAAAATGACGACATTAAATCCCCTGAAGACGGACGGCTTGTCCGTCCGAAATATCGGCAAACCTCAAGTCGCTTTTCTCTTTGCTGTTTTGTTATTCTCTTTGCTGTTTTGTTATTACAATATCTACATGATTCAATGTAACCGTTGTAATTTACAATATATAGGTGAAACTAAGCGCCGTCTCAAGGACAGATTTAACGAACACAGACGTGCAGTCGACAAAACTAACATTAAATCTAAACCCACTACTGTTTCTGAACACTTTCGTTCTCACTTTAACCATTCTCATACTGGCATGCCGTTAATCCCACTAGAGAAAATTCATTCTTCACGTGACTCAGTTCGTAAGGCCAGGGAGTCGCATTTGATAGATAAGGCCATGACTCTTGAACCTCATGGCCTAAACCGCCGTGACGGATTATTGTAATCCATATCCTTAGTATTTTTCCTTTCCAGTTTTTATGTTGTACGTCATTTCCGCCTCTCCCTTTTATTGCGACATTCTCCATCTATATAATATTGTGATTGCTACATAAGTTCAGTAACATTTGTAAACCTGAAGAAGGCTGGTATGGCTAGCCGAAATATTGTTATAAAAAACAATACACGTTGTTTTAAATCAGCTTTGCTGTAGTCTTCGGACTTCTCGTTCTTGTCTATTTTCGGATAATGGAAGTGATTTATAAAAATGGTAGACGTGATAACGGGAAGAAATTTAAATTTATTAGCCCAGAATTTTGCGTGCCATTTGC